GCCTCCCAGTTCTGGGATTAAAGGTGCGTGCACCAATACCCGGCCATTGTGTCTTTTTCATTAAACTGTCTTTGAGCTTCTGATCCTCCTGCCTCCTCTTCCCACCCAGTGTATCGGATGCTGGGCACATACCCAGTGTGTTGTGTGGTGTGCGCTAAGCTCTGCTATCTGAGCCATATCTCCAGCCCCGTGTCTCGTGTTGTCTCTTGCTGTACTTTGTGTGTGCAGCTCTGGGGATTGAACGTAGGCTTCGTGCACACCAGGTAAGTACTGTGCCATTGCCACACCCCAGGTCATTATTTGTGATCTTTTTTTTAAGCTTTTAAAAGTACACCTAAGCTGGGAGGTGGTGGCTCACACCTTTAACCCCAGCACTTGGGAGGCAGAGGCAGGTGGATCTCTGTGAGTTCGAGGTCAGCCTGGTCTACAGAGCGAGTTTCAGAACAGCCAGGGCTACACAGAGAAACCATGTCTCAGAAAATAATAATAATAATGGCAATAATAATAGTAAAAATCTAAAAACATTAAACAACTCCAAGGGCTGGCAAGAGCTCAGTCAGTGAGGCATTTGGTTCCCAAGCCTGAGGGCCTATGTTCCATCTCCAGTACCGAGGAAGCAGAGACAGGAAGACCCTGTGTGCCTCTAGAGCCAGCCTGTGTAGTCTAAGTGACAAGCTCCAGGCAAGATAGCTTTCCTAAGCATGACTCCAAGGTTGTCCTCTAACCTGCTCATGCATATACATGCACACACGCATGTGTACACCTGTAAACCAACACTGGAGAGAAAGACAGGTCATCCTCAGCTACCTGCTGAGGTCCAGGCCAACTGGGGCTGAATGAGACCCTGTCTCAAAAAAAAAAGAGCAAGACAACAAAAATATATAAGTAAGCTTTGTGTCAGAATTATTCCAAAATACTGTTTATGTAAAAATATGCCAGGATTAAAAACTTGTTTCCAAGCCGGGCGTTGGTGGCGCACACCTTTACTCCCAGCACTCAGGAGACAGAGGCAGGTGGATCTCTGTGAGTTTGAGGCAAGCCTGGTCTACCGAGCAAGTTCCAGGACAGCCTCCAAAACAATACAGAGAAACCCTGTCTCGAAAAACCAAAAAAAAAAAAAAAAAAAAAAAACTTGTTTCCAGCCGGGCGTTGGTGGCGCACGTAATCCCAGCACTGGGAAGCAGAGGCAGGAGGATCTCTGAGTTGGAGACCAGCCTGGTCTACAGAGTGAGTTCCAGGACAGCCTCCAAAACAATACAGATAAATCCTGTCTCGAAAAACCAAAAAAACAAACAAAAAGCTTGTTTTGTTGATGATGGTGTTGATGGTGGTGGTGTTTTGTCTTGTTTTTGAGGCAGGGGTCTCATGTAACCCACTCTGGCCCCAAACTCACTACATAGCCAAGGATGACCTTGAACTCCTGATTATCCTATCACCTCAAAAGTGCTGGGACAGCAGGCATGCACCACACCCGTTTTGTTCCCTCTGAGGGTAAACCTAGGGCTTCAGGCATGCTAGGCAAGCACTGGACTAGCTGAGCCCCAGCCTCCGGCTTTAGCCCTTCACTGGTTTAACTCATAGCTTTGTACTGCAATTATGTGCACAAGAGGACCCTGCCACACCATGGGCAGGAAGTCTCTCCATCTCACAGTCCTCTGCAAACAGCAAGAGAGTCTGCCAGCACCCCCAAATCCTGGGAGTTCTGGGAACCGAACTCAGACCCTCCAAAGAGCAGCGTGCTATGTGGTCTTAACCACTGAACCTTCTCTCCAGCCTGCTCTTTTATTCATTATTTTTCCTTAAACAGGGCCCCTGTAATCTAGGTTGGCCTAGAACTACTGATCGACCTGCCTCATCCTCAAGTGTGGGGATTACAGGCCTGAACCACCATGTCAGAATCCCCGGTTCTGGAGATTTGGGGGAGAGGAGCAGGGGTTCCGGACAGGGTCTCTCTGTGTAGCCTTGGCTGTCCTGGAATTCACTTTGTAGACCAAGCAGGCCTTGAATGCAGAGATCCTCCTACCTCTGCTTCCTGAGTGCTGGGTCTAAAGGTGTGGTGCACCAGTCTCAGTGGTAATTTCAGATTTTTATTTTGTTATATGAAGGTATGTGGGTATGTGCACATACATAAAGGAGAGTGTCAGAGGTCCTTATTCCCTTGGGGCATCATCTTTCACTGAGCCTAGAGCTAGGCTGGCATCCAACAACACCCATGACCCTCTTACCCCTCTACCCTCCATACGGCGCTGGAGAAACTTAAGGCTTACACAGACATGGGTGCAACCATGTCCATAGGTACTGGAGATCTGAACTCAGGTCCTCGTGCTTACATACCGAGCCCTCCCTCACCCATGGAACCCTCCCCAGAGCTCTATTCATGTTTACACAGAGTTTCAGGTAGCTGGGGCTGGCCTCAAACTTTACCAAGTCATCCAGGATGACCTTGAACTGCTCCCCTCTGATTGCTGGGACTACATGCCTGCATCATCACACCCTTTGTTCAATCATTTATTTGTTTGTTTGTTTATTTTTGGTGTGAGTGTTACTACTTGTATGCCTGGTGCCTAATTGAGGTCAGAAGAGGGCTTCAGGTCCCCCTGGAACTGGAGTTAACAGACAGTTGTGAGCTGGGAATTGAACCTGGATCCTCTTCCAGAGCAACCAGGGCTCTTAACCACTGAGCCATCTCTCCACATCTGGTTTATAGTGCTGAAGATGGAGCCCAGGGCTTCCCTGTGTGCTAGGCAAGTGTTCTACCAGCTGAGCCACACACCAGCACTAATATAATGACTTGTTTGGGTTTTTGTTTTTCAAGACAGGGTTTCTCTGTGTAACAGCCCTGGCTGTCCTGGAAATCACTCTGTAGAGCAGGCTGGCCTCAAACTCACAGAGATCCACCTGCCTCTGCCTCCCGAGTGCTGGGATTAAAGGGGTGCATCACCAAAGCCTGGCAATGTGTATGAATCTTTATGTGTGTCTGGGCACCTCGGGCATGCCTGGTGTTCTTGAAGGCCAGAAGAGGGTGTCCGATCCCCAAGAACAGGAGTTACAAATGTAAGATGTCCACTCTGATGGGCGCTCAGGTCCTCTACAAGGAGAGGTGCTCTTAACCACTGAGTCATCTCTCCAGCCCCCCAAAAATTTTATGAAATGGAAGAAAAATCCATATGTATTTTCACAAAATTACGTATCAATAAATTAACCATTTCATCTGTTTCTTTTGGTGCTGAGAATAGAACACAGGGCTTTATACGAGCTAGATACGGGCTCTGCCCTGAGCCCACATCCATCACTTTCGCCATTTTGAGGAGCCCAGGTCAGTGGCATTTAGCTCACTCACTGTGTTGTGAAACCATCTCTCAAACTATTTATCTTGCAAAACTGAAACTCTGCCTCCATTGACCACTAACCCCCAAGCCAGCCCCAGATATTAAAGCTGGGACATCTGGAGACCTCCAATGAGTTTAGTGGTGTGTGTGTGTGTGTGTGTGTGTGTGTGTGTGTGTGTGTGTGTGTGTGTGTGTGTGTCAGAGGGTGACAGTGTTTGCACAGGTGTCACGCACTTCTCTGCCTTGTGTTTTTGAAACATGGTCTCCTGCTGAGCTGAATGCTCACTGTTTATGTAAACTGCCTGTCCCTACTCCCTGGTGCTAGGCTCAATTTATTTCTTTATTCTTTATTTAGAGATAGAATCTCTCTATGCAGTGCTGGCTGTACTAGAACTCACTGTGTAGACCAGGCTGGCTTTAAACTCATGGAGACCCTCCTGCCTCCGAGTGCTGGGATTACCGGTGTGGGCCACTTCATATGCCTGGGTCTGATGTGTTGGAGACTTGAACTCAGGTCCCTCTGTTTGAACCACATGGGATCCCTTAGAACTGGAATTATAAGTGTTTGTGAGCCACCCAACAAGGGTGCTGGAATCTGAGTGAACTCCAGGCCTCTCGATGGACCAGCAAGTGACTTTAACCACTGAGCCATCCCTCCAGTCTTCTTTATTCTAGATTGTTGTTTCCCGTTTCATTAGTTTTGGTTTTAATTTTTTTTTTCTTTTATGAGACAGTGTCTTGCCTGGCCAGAAACTCCCAATGCAGACCAGGCTGATTTTGAACTCACAGAGACCTGCCAGGCTGTGCATCCTAACTGATTAAATAAGAGCGTGACACCATGCCTGGCCGTTTATTCTGGCTGGTTTGTTGTTGTTTTGTTTTTTGAGACCAGGTCTTGTGTAGCCCTGGCTAATAGTGATCTTACTGTGTAGCCAAGGATGACCTTGAACTCCTGATCCTCCTGCCTCTACCTCCCAAGAGCTGGGACCTGTCTGTACCACCATTCCCAAATTATGTACTACTAGGATTAGAACCCAGAGCTTCCTGCGTGCCGGGCAATCACTCTGCTGTTCTCCCCATCTCCAGCCCTGCATGTCTATCGCCAAGGCACCTGCACATGGTCTCTGCAGCCCAGCATCAGCAGGTACTTCCTAGGGCTCCTGAGGTGTGTGCCTCTTTTTGGACAGCTCTTGGGCCATGGCTGTGAGGTGACACACCCTTTGCTCTTAGATGAGGTGGGTGGCACTTTTGGGGATTTATGTCTCCTAGGTCCTCTTGCTCAATCCCAGTACTTATCTGCTGACCCCTCTCCCTGCTGATAAGGGCAGGCTATCTTTAGCCCCAGGGTTTGCAAAGAATCAGTGGGCACCAGGCAAGGTCACTGGCACACTTTGCTCTGCTGGAAACTGAACCCTGGATCCCCACCCCCAGTGACTTAACTCAGGCCACCTGTGTGCTAGGCAAGCACTCTTCCACAGAGCTCCCTTTTTTTTTTTTTTTTCAAACCTGCAGTTATGCAATCCCCTGAGTTTCGGCCTGGCGAAGGTGGGCTGGCCTGACAGAGGACACGAAGCTGCCAGGGGAAGCCGGAAGAGTTTCTATTGTGAGAGCTCAGCTTCCCACAACTTTTTTTTTTTTCATTTTTCTTGTAGCCTTGATTTCTTTGACTGCTTCAGTTTTTAAAAATTCTCTTTATTATTGTGGGGTGCATGGATGTGCGCCACAGATTGTGTGTGCAGGTCAAAGAACGTGTGTCGGTCTGGTGTATCTAGTGAGACAGGGTTCACTCTGTAGTTCAGATGGGACTGGAACTCACTCCAGAAGCCAAGGCTAGACTCCCATGAATAACAGTCCCTCTTCTTTAGCCTCTGGAGTTCTGAGATGACAGGTATGAACCACCATGCCCAATACTCTTGTTGCTGGGCCAGGGCCTCAGTCCGTTGCCCAGGCTGGCCTGGGATTCACTCCAATCCTCTTGCTACCACCACCTGAATAACGGGATTGCGTGCTAGGCTTCTACTTAAACATTTTATTTATTTATTTTCGGGGTTTTGAGGCAGTCTCTCTATATAATCCTGGCTGCCTTGGAGCTCGGTTTGTAGACCAGGTTGACCTCAAAGTCACAGAGATCCTCCTGTTGAGGTCAACCTGTTCTACAGAGTGAGTTCCAGGACAGACAGGGCTACACAGAGAAAGTCGTCTCGAAAAACAAAACAAAAACACAGGAATGTGAACAATCACGCCTGTAATCCCAGCACTCAAGAGAAAGAGGCAGGTGAGTTTGAGGCCAGCCGGGTATACTTAGTGAGCTTCAGGGCAGCCGGGGTTACACTGTAAATCTCAACACCCCCTCCACCCCCACCCCCAGATGAATCCCGGTTTTATGTATAGTTAATATATCTCTAAAGTAAATTTTAAAAAATCCTCAAGCAAAAATAAGCAATCACGTAAGGATTCAGGCATCACACTGGCCTGGCCCTGTCACCTGGCAGAATGCACTCGGGCAGCACCCTGGCCAGCCCAGAGCTTGCACGAGCTCTCTGTCTCTGTCTCTCTGTCTCTGTCTCTTTTCTCTTCCCCATCCCTCCCCTTTCTAATAAAACTTCTCACTCAAGCTCTGCCTGCCTGGCGTGTTTGTCCCTCTACCTTGGTCCCCTCGCGCTTTGTCACGACACCCACCGCTCGCCCCTCGAGTCCTGCCCGCAACCGACATGCGCACGCACCTCTGGGGTCCCGCGCCTTTCAAGTCTGAGCATGCCCAATAGGCTGTCGGGCGGGGCCTCTCCCGGGGCTCGCAGCAGGAATTGGCGCATGCGCACCCGGCCAAATGCGGGCAGGCCCCTCGTGACACGCTCTCCCTACGATGATTGGTCCTCGCACATGAGTGACAGAAGAAGTTTTCCCGAGCTCTCCACGAAATGGCCGCGCATTCCGCCATGCTCTCTCCCTCCCCTGATTGGGCTCTGCAGAAGACGGACGGACGGGCTACCCAATGAGACCCAGACGCTCTGGGAAGGGGCGGGGCCGTGAGGGGACAAATTTGCGCGGGTTCGGAGCCGACGCGGTCCGTCATGGCGGCTTTCCGTGAGATGGAGGAGGTGAGCAGCTGGCTGCTGAGCCTGCTGGGGGCCAACCACGCCGAGAAGCAGCAGCGGCAGCTGCTCGGGCGCCACGAGCAAATGGTGGAGCGGCTGCTGGAGACGCAGGACGGCGCCGACCAGCGGCTTCGGGGTGAGGGCGGGGCCCCTGCGCTCCCGCCCCGGGGGACCTCTCGGTGGGAGCTGGCAGCCCCTGGGCCTCGGTTCCCCATCCGACATTAGCCATCGCCCAGATGCTCACAGATCAGTGTCAGGGCGCACAGTGCCAGGCTCTCCATGAACTCTGCGTGACTTGATCTTACTCCGTAGCTCAGGCCGGCCGGAAAGTCATGGTCCCTGCTCCCCACTCTTCCGAGTGGGAGCCGTCACCCCTGGTCTCATTTTCTCCGCTTGTGAAACGGGTTTCACGACATCGAATGTCACCTAGGGACTTAGAAGTAAGTACAGGAGTTGGCAGGACCTGATCCCATCTTGAATGTGGCTCAGGCTATTTTGGAACTCTGTAGCTGAGGGTGGCTGAAACTCAAACAATCCTGTCTGTCAGCTGTGGTCACAGTTGTGAGCCATCTCCCAGTGCCCTTCGCTGTTGAAGGTTGGGAACCTTTAAAATGTTCATACCCACCGAGCCTGCTGTGAGCTGCGCCCTGGGTGGCTGCGGGACTCAAGCCCCATGGGAGGCTGGCGTCCTACCTGAGAGGAGACAGGATAAACATTTGTGTTCTCAGCGATGGGCTAAGGAGACAAATCTGTTCTGTCATTAGGAGTGCTGTCAGCAGGAGCCCGGAGGGCCTTCTGCCTAGATGGTAAGAAAACCTCAAAGAGTTGATGGAGCAGGGCTGTGGGAAGGCTCTCAGAACAAAACTGAAAACCGTGATGTGAAGGCCAGAAGAGGGCACATACAGTTGTGGTCTGTAGAGCAGATTCCAGGCCATGCAGGGCTGCACACTTTCATAGTGAAATACGTCACCCATTATAAAGAATACTCAAGTAAGATATGTGCGAAGAGCTTGGGCAGGGCTGGGGAGGCCACGTCTGCACTGGAAGCCTGCTCACAAGAAGCTACCAGAAACAGTGGCATAAGTGACTTGTTTAGCCAGTGCCACAGAAAACAGCTCAGAGTTGAGAGGGCCGTGTGCCTAAGTGCTTTGAGCTATTAGCGTGAAGTTTTGTTGGGACTGGAGGCTCAGCAGTTAAGAGCACTGCTCCTTCCAGAAATCCTGTGTTCAGTTCTCAGTGCCCACAGTTCAGTCGGTCCACAAACACTTGGAACTCCATTTCCAGGGACAGCTGACACTTCTGGCTTCCATGGTCATCAGGTACACATATATACATGTAGCTAGGTAATAAAAATTGAAAAGCAAAGCGAGGGACAGGAGCCTTGGCTCAGTTGGTAGAGTGCTTGCCTGGAGTGCATGAAGCCATGGGTTCCATTCCTGGAGCTGCATTAAATGCCTTGCGGGTGCAGGCCTGTCAAGCCAGCAATCAGAGACAAACAGGAGATTCAGGAATTTAAGACCCTAGAGAATTCAAAGCCAGGCTCATACCAGAGACCCTGTGTCAAAAGACTAAAACAACTAGAAAGTTCCAGGAGTCTAGCTCAGAGAGATGAGACATGACTGTCTGCATGGGGCCTTGGGAACTAACAGTCATCATGAAGTAAACTGAGGGCCACCACGATGGCTCTGGGTGAAGACACGTGCTGCCAAGCCTGTTTCAGCTTGATCCCGAGGAAGGAACCTCGTGGTAAAGGAGAACTAACTAGTACAGGTTGTCCTCTGACCTCAGTGTGCAAACCACGGTAGTTTTTCTTTGCATGAGGCATTGATGGCTTGGACAAAGAATCTTAGAATTCGAGAGATGATAGCAGGAGGTTTGCTGAGAATTCAGGACCAACCTCAGTTACATAGAGTTCCTGGCCAGTATCAGAGAAACCCTATGTCAGCCCCATCCACCCCATTTGTCTTATGATACAGCTAGCTAGTAGGGTGCTTGCCTAGCATGTGTGAGGCCCCAGATATAAACCCAGTACCACAAAGTATAATTAAAATTAAGTAATTCAGTGGCCATACACTGTGACCCGCTTCTCTAGAGCAACTTGGGTAACATAGAAGAATTCCTTGAGCCCAGAAGTTTGTGGCCTACCTGGACATCTTAGTGAGACCCTTGACCCATCACTCAACACCCACCCAAAAATGTGGGAGGGCATTCTGACAAGATATTGAAGGAATTGTATGCCGATACTCCAAGCATTTGGAGCTACATGAGGCCACCCTCAAACAAGAGAAGTGTTGGTTCAGTGGGGACAGTGCTTGCCTTGCATACAGAAAGTCCTGGCTTCCATCCCCACCACCATACAGAATGGGCATGTGGACAATTTGGGGGAGTCACCTCTGCCTCTACCAAGTGGGTCCTAGTTCATCAGGCTTGTTGGCATCTCACTCGGCAGTTAGCAATTTTTGTGTTTGTTTTGGCACAGAGTTTCTGAGTTTAACCCAAGCCATTGTAGAACTCTGCATCCTCCTGCCTCTGCCCAATGAGTAATGGATTATAGGTGCATGCTGCCATGCTCAGTATTGAGCATGTTCTGGCAAACAGGGAGGTGCTCTGGCACCGCCGGGGGTGAGGGCAGCAGAGCCCTGTCTGGGTAGTGGCACACGCCTCTTCAGGGTCCTGGGCAAAGGATGGATCCGAGGGCACCTGTGTCTGTCCTGTTGCAGAGACCGTGGGTGTGGAGGAGGAAGCGGCTCAGAGCCTTCTTGAATTGAAGGAATGCACGCGCCTGGGAGGCACTGAGCTACAGCGTCTGGAAGTCGAGCTCCAGAATGCCAGCAAGGAAGACGCCTATCTGCAGGCCAGCCTCTGATATCCTTAACTGTACCCAGCATCCTCCCTCCCAGTATGCTTGGATCTGGTTAGGATGCAGCTCAGTGCTGGAGCCTCTGCCTAGAATCTCCCAGTGAGGAGCTGGGACGTGCTCTGCCTGCCTAGCATGTGTCAGCTCTTGGCTTTCATCCCTAACACCGAAAGGCACAATAGGAAGAAAATGCTTGAGCACCAGGTGCTCCGGCTAGGTATGTGGGGAGGTGATTGTCTTTAGTCTCCCTGAGCTTGGGCCTTAACTGACCTGCACTCAGCTGACCTCAGAGCTGCAGGAGCTCAGGGAGATGGAGGCGGATCTCCAGCAACAGGAGAGGGACGTGGATGAGGACACCACCATCACCATCCCCTCTGCAGTGTAGGTTCTGCAGGCTGGGCTGGAGCTCCTCCCTGTGGCACGGTTCAAGTTAATGCTGTGGTAACCGTCTTCTCCGCTCTTAACCTCTTTCTGTCTAGGTACGTGGCGCACCTCTATCACCAGATTAGTAAAATAGAATGGGATTATGAATGTGAGCCAGGAACGATCAAGGGCAGTATCCTTTGAGAAGTCACTGCAGGGGTAGAATGAAGCAGCAGCTGAGAAAACTGGCACACCCTCAAGTCACTGGTACATCCTCAAGTCACTGGTACATCCTCATCCTCATGTTAGAAAAGTCACTGGTGCATCCTCATGTTAGAAAAGTCACTGGTACATCCTCATGTTAGAAAAGTCACTGGGCATGGTGGTGCACTTGGGAGGCAGAGACGGGGATCTCGCTGGAGTTCCAGGATAGCAAGGGCATTGCTGGGGATATGCTCCAAAGAGTTGAAGGACTCTTGAGGTGGGACTCATCATGATCCAAATGTAGAAGCCACTTCCGTCTCAGCAGGTAGATGGGGAAGAAAATGCGGTTTATCTGTGCACTGGATAGTATTTCGCTTGGGAGCTGGAGAGATGGCTCAGCAGTTAGGAGCACTGGCTGCTCTTCTGGGGGACCTTGGTTCAATTCCCAGTACCCACATGGCGGCTCACAACTGTCGGTAATTCCAACACCCTCATACAGACATAAATGCAGGCAAAACATCAAAATGCACACAAAATAATAAATCGTTAAAAAATAGTGTTTAGCTTTTAAAAGATGGGTTAGACAGAAGATACAGATGAGGTAGAATGCTTGCTTAGCATTGGGTTCCACCCCCAATAGTGGGGTGATCTGGAACTTGCTGTCTACTCCAGGTTGACTACAAGTCTGTGGCGAACCCTCCACCTTCTACCTCTCAAGTGCTGGGATTGTAGGTGTGTGCCCTTACACCCAGCAAAAATACCATTCTTGTTTTGGTTTCCAAGACAGGGTTTCTCTGTGTGTAACAGTCCTGGAACTCTGTAGACCAGGCTGACCTCAGACTCACTGAGATCTACCTGCCTCTGCCTCTCAAGTGCTAGGATTAAAGGTGTGTGACTCTGCCAGGCAAAAATACCATTCTTAATTAAAAAGAAACTAGGGAAAGCAAGGCATGGTAGCACATGCCTTTAATCCCAGCACTCGGGAGGCAGAGGCAGGCGGATCTCTGTGAGTTCAAGGCCAGCCAGAGTTAAACAGAGAAACTGTCTCAAAAAGAAAAAATAAATAAAAATAGGGAGCTGGCAAGATGGATCAGTGAGTAGGGGCCTATGCTACCAACCCTGATGACCAGAATTCAGTCCCTGGGACCACTGATGAGGGAGAGCACCGAGTACAAGTTGTCCTCTGACCTTGGCAGATGGATGCACCCACAGAAACAAGTAAACAGAAAGAAACTAGTGTGATGCCGCACCTGTAGCTACAGCACTTAGGAGACAGAAGGGATTGCCCGAGTCCAGGGCTAGCCTGGGCTAAGACAGTCTCAGGACAGCAGACTGAAGCAAAGGCTGCTTCCAGTGCACAGGGAAGACGTGCGTTTTCCTTTCATTGCGTCCTCAGTCCACCACGGCCCCTCTGTGGCCCTGCCCATCCACCTGGACAGCGCACAGCTCTCACAGAAGTTCATCAGCGACTACCTCTGGAGCCTGGTGGACACTGCGTGGTAGCCAGAGCCTTCACCTCGCACCCTCTGTAGAATTAAAAATCTGTATGTGACTGACTTCATGCATTTATCTGCTTGTCTTGAAACTGTCTCATGGAGCCCAGGCTGACCTGGAACTTTTTTTTTTTTTTTTTTTTTTTTTTTTTTTGGTTTTTCGAGACAGGGTTTCTCTGTAGCTTTGGAGGCTGTCCTGGAACTAGCTCTTGTAGACCAGGCTGGCCTCGAACTCACAGAGATCCACCTGGCTCTGCCTCCCGAGTGCTGGGATTAAAGGCGTACGCCACCAACGCCCGGCGACCTGGAACTTTTTTAAAAAAACATTTTTACTGGGCTGGAGAGATGGCTCAGAGGTTAAGAGCACTGGCTGCTCTTCCAGAGATCCTGAGTTCAATTCACACGGTGGCTCACAACCATCTGTAATGAGATCTGGTGTCCTCTTCTGGCCTGCAGGGATACATGCAGACAGAACACTGTATACATAATAAATAAATGTTAATAAAATTTAAAAAAATTTTTACTGAAAGAATGTTTGCCTACATGTATGTGTGTTAGTCATGTGTTCTGGTGGAGGTCAGAAGAAAGCATTGGAATCCCCAAACTGTAGTTATAAGTGGCTGTGAGTTGTCATGTGGGTGCTGGGAATTGAACCTGGGTCCTTTGGAAGAGTGGCCAGCAGAGCCATTTCTCCAGCCCCTCCCACCTTATGTTGAGGCAGGGTGTGAACTCCCAAGGATTTACCCTTCCTGCCTCTCCAGCACTGACTGATTTCACCTCAGGTCCTAATGCTTAAGCACTCTGCTAACTGCCACCTCAGCCCACCCTCCCCGTATTTTTATGAGGTCCTGATGCCAGGCCTGAGCCCATCACTGAAGATTCTAGGCTTGTGCTCAAGTCTTGACCACATACAGAGCCAGGTCACCTCACCCCCTCCCCAGTGACATCTGGGTAATGTTTTAGGGTTTATAGACACTACAGGACCCTCAGCACCACCCTTGATCTCCATTTACTGGATTCCAGGAGCACCCCGACAACAAGAAGGGGCCATGACTCTGTCCCTGGGGAAGGTTACACAGAGTCCCACTTTGCTGGCTGAGTCACCGCTGTGGGCTTGACTTTCCATGCCAATGTGAGGCAGGGGGAGGACAGAGAACGCGCCCAGCCCAGGCTTCCTTTCCCTGGTTGTACATGCTGACCTGCAGACACTGGTGCCTAAGGGACAAAGCGTGGGGTAAAGGTGCTTGCCACCAAGTCTGATGGCCTGAGTTCAAACCCACCGGGCCCATCTTTGCCTCCTCAGCAGTTGAGGGCACTGGCTGCCCTTCCAGGGCCTGGCTTCAATGCATTGCACCCACAGAGCAGCTCACAACTCTAGTTCCAGTTCAGGTGACTGGAGTGTCCTGACTTCCTCAGACACTGGGCACACACATGTGTGCAAGCAAAACACTCATAAAATGCATAAATCTTTAGAAGAGAAAAAAGATGGAGCAGGGCGGCAGGAACCACAGATGATGCGGAAAGGAACTGCTTTGCTTTGCTCTGGAAGGGCCAGTGCCTGCTGCTGGAACCCCTAACCCTCTGGTACAGGAGGATTTACACTCCCTTCGCTGGCACACACCAGGGGCTGACTCCAGGGGCCAATGAGTGTGGCCCAGGGCCCTGGGGAGGCCCCAGCTCTTCGTGCCTGGGCTCTGAGTCACTGCCCAGCACTGGCTTCCTGCCGAGGACATCCTGGGGGCAGGGTACAGCCTCCTGCCCAAACTCCTACCCACAGCCTGCCTGGCATGTTCCTTCCAAGGGAGCTAGCTTCCCCAGGGGCCAGCAGCCCTCATTCTCAAGGCCAGCCAGAGGGAGGACAACCCTGCAGTTACCACAGATGGAGTGGATCTCAGACCAAACAGTGCCCCAGTGCCATCTTGAGCCCAATATACAGTGAGGGAAACTGAAGCCCGGTGCCATCTGGCCACTTCCCTAAGTCCCAAGACGTAAGAAGTTCAGAGACTGAACCATTCATTGCCCTGGGCTCTCAGCCAATGGGCCCTAAAGCTAGGTGCTCCAGGGTGCAGAGTGTCTTCCTGTGAGCTGTCCGGGATGAGGCGGTTTGTCAGGACAATGGAAAGGGCATCCAACAGCCGTGACCAGCCCCTTTCTGTAGTCTTTCCCTCCCCGTGGGTCAGCTGTGGTCGGTCAGAGCTGTTTCCACTAGGCGGGCTCATTAAGCAGAAAGGGTGCCTAGACATGGGACGTAAGCATGAGGCTAGATTTGAACCCAGGGCAGCCAACTGAAGGATCTATGTCCTCAGGACTCAAGAGCTGCCCTGCTGTGGGGGACAGAGGACCACACGTGGGGACTGAAGCCTACAGGTGGCTCACCTCCACCTGTCACCTTCCTTTTTGGAGCTGGTGTCTCCTCGCCTTGGCCTCAGGGCTCCCCCCACCCCCACCCCAGAGCCCTCTTCCCTGTGTCTGTGCGGGGAGGCGGGTGCAGGCCAGAGTGCGTGCACACACACGGAGGTAAGGGAGTCGGTCTGTGCAAGGGCCCCAGGCTCGGACGGCGGGTGCTGGGGATGGGCTCCAGGGCTTCATGTGCTCCGGACATGCACTGTACCCCAGCCCCGACCCAGCCCAGCCCCCTGCTGGGTGAATGTCCCGCCTGCTGGTTCTGGAGCAGCTGCACTTTCTTAAAATACTGTTCTGTGGCTGGAGCTATCGAAGCGCACCTGGCTTCAGTTATCTGGGAAAAGGAACTAAACTCAGGCCCCCCAAGGCCAGGATCGATTTGTCTCAGGTTTCACACCTGGGGGCTCCGGACTCTTCATCTCCAACTGGGAGTGAGGTCATCACACCTGGTGACAATGAAGTGAAGGGACAAAGGGCTGGGAAAGTAGGACTCTTGAGGGCCCCAGGCAGGAACATCCATTGAGCACAGGGGTCAAGGGTGGGCAGGAAGAGATGCAGGATAACAAAGCTGGCATGCTTCCAGGCTGGGAGAGATGCAACCACAAGGGGCAGACACCACACCACCTCAGAAGGCTCCCTGATCAAACCTGGCTTGCAGGCCACAGTATGGAGGGACGATTCTCCAGATCCCCAGTGGCTCGTGCCAAGTAAGGGACTGATTAATTAAGCCCCAAGTTTTTCCCACAACCCCCCAAGGGAGGCTCGGGAGAGGAGAGAGGGAGGGAGTTCCTACTCCAGGGCAGGAAGCAGTTGACAGGAGTGTCAGACAAGACACAGAAGTCTCAGGAAACTTTCCCCAGGCTGACTAAGTGGGGGTGATGTAGCCTGAGAACATCTCAGAAAACCACAGCGGGGAGACTGGAGTTTGGGGAATGCTGGCTACAGAGCACGGCACCCTCCCGCGCCAGGCTGGGGCTTACTCAGTCTTGGGCTCCAAGCTGGTCCACCACAGACATCTGTGGTCTGAGACACTAGGAGCTGGAAGGGGAGCCAGCCTAGGGGTGGTGACCCGCGGGCAACAGCAGTTGGTGTCATACTGGCATCTGTCCTGTCGTGGCAGGCAAGACCACCACCACTTGCTCTCCCTGGGGTGCACATCCAGGTCATTGATCCCCATTCTGAAGCCAGAGACGTGCAGACAGAAAAGACAGAGAACAAGGAACCCCATTCCCAAGAACCTCCCGTTCCTTGTTAGGCAGCCACTCCACCCCTGAGCTAAACTCCAGCTCCTCAGTGCATGCTGGTAAATGAGGTGTTTGCTTTTGAGTCATGGACCCCAGGCCTCAAACTTGCTATGTAATAGAAGAAAACCTAGAACTCCCGATTTTCTGCCTCCACCTGGCCAGTGGTAGGATGGAAGGCGTGGGTGATCACACTTGGCCTTGCACGCCCTGAACAGAAAAAAGCTGGAGCTGTGGGGCCGTGGTGGCGCACACCTTTAATCCCAGCACTCGGGAGGCCCAGACAGGCAGGCGGATCTCTGTGAGTTCGAGGCCAGCCTAGTCCAGAGTGAGAGCTGGGACCTCACAGAGAAACCCTGTCTGGGGTGCTGAGGTGTGGAGGTTGGGAGCGAGTCCATCACCTTCCGTGTGAAGTGCCCCATGGGAGCCCCAATCCTGCTTACAGTGTGTCAGATCCCAGGCCACTGCAGCTCCATTATCCTGTTCACCACACAGGCGAGCGTCATTTGATTCAGTGACATAGTCCTTGAAAGCCTGTGCAGTTTGAGGCTTCCCAGGCCACTGCTCAGTTCTTTCCCAGTGGCGGTTTGGAGGGAAGAACAGATGTGCCACCGTGTGGATGCAGAGGAGATGACAGGCTGCTCCCGAGCTCCCGCCACAACCTGGCAGGAGGTGGGATCACTGGGGTAAGCAGGCCCAGGTACACAAGGTGACAGAATCTGAACCCAGGCCACTTACCTAGCGTTCCTCATTGCTGCTTCGTACCCAGGCTCTTCCCCAAGCTCCTTTTATTGGTCTAACCATGGGACTCAGGGATGGGAAATGGGTAGAGTTCTTTTCCTCCTCCATCTGCCCCAGCAAGGGGTCCTTAAGGTGTTTCCTTGTATCAGCCCACTCCTCCCCCAGCTCCTGGCTCCTCTTCACCCAGGGCTCTCAATCCTGAGTTCAGTTGGCAAAGTGGCTCCCTTTGTTCTTTAAAATGTTTAATTTTAGCTGGGCATGGTGGCACATGCCACCGTTAATCCCACACTCTGGGCAGAGGTAGAGACAGGCATCTGTGTGAGTTCCAGCCCAGACCCCTGTAAACAGCCCCTCACCCACACTCTGTAAGCAATGCCCGCAAATTCACTGGGTTACCAAACAAAAACGGAGGGAAAGTGGAGGGGAGGTTGGCTGGGAAGAGAGAGGGGCCGGCAGGGGAGGGATGATAGGATGAATACGATCAAATACATGTGTGTATAATGAAAATATCAAATACAGATAGACAGTAAGACTTAGTTTTTGGCTAACGTGCTTCGTTTCCTCACACCTTACAGAGGTTTGGAAAAGATAGTCTCAGTGCTAAGAAACAGAGAGGTGCAGAGAGACAGACACACCTTTAACTCCCACACTTGGAAGCAGAGACAGGTAGGTGGGTTTCTGATTTCAAAGTCAGCCTGAGCCACGTAGTGAGACCCTGGCTCAAAAAAAACAAAGCCAGGAGGTGGTGGCGCACATCTCTCACCCCAGCACTCGGGAGACAGAGGTAGGTGGATCTCCGCGAATCGGAGGCCAACCTGGTCTACAGCCAAGACTAAACAGAGAAACCTTCTCGGAAAACCAAACCAAACCAAAAAACCTACCAAATAAACATCGCAACAAACACAGACACAGGTTTGGCCAAATGATTCCTTCATTTAGGGGATCATGGGTGGGCCGGTGGTTCACAGCTCAGGATGCTCATCATGCAACCAAAGAGCAGAGTGCAAACTCCAGCACCCACTTAACAAGGCGGGGTTCTCTACATGCTGTACCCACTGGCCTGCGAGGAGCAGAGAGGCTGGGCCTTTCTGGCATCAGACAAAGCTGATGGAGCCCAAGGCTCAGGGAGACTTTGCCTCAAAGAAATAGGTGGAGTAACAAGACACCCAGTGCTCTCTTCTGGCCTCCACACAGAGAGGTGTGTGCACCCGTATAAACACAGGCATATATGCTTACAGACACATACATACATAAAACTAAACACGTTCAGCCAACTGGTTCATTGTACAAGCCTGAGGACCTGAGTTCAAGTCCCAGAACCTGGACAAATGTGGAGACTTCTGACCTCCAGTTCCGTGCCTCTGCACTCCACACTCACACACACACTCACTCACACACACACTCTCACACACTCTCACATACTCACACTCTCTCACACACTCTCTCACACACTCACACTCTCACACACTCACACACACTCACACTCTCACACACTCACACATACACAATGATGACAAAGTTTTCAAAAAGGAGTTTAATCCATCACAGTAAGACATTTCCAGCCTATTAAAACACCTGAACAATGGTTTCAAAGCAGTTCCTATCCCTCAAGGCAATACACAGGCCAGAGAACAGCACATTAAAAAAATCTCCATACACAGAGCATCCCAGAGTGTCACCCCAGATCAACCTGGAGAAATGTCACCAACAAGTGCAGCAATTAGGGTTTTCAAAAATAAATAGATTTTTATATATGTGATAACCTTGAACAAATACGCGGACTGAAAACAAGACCAGGTGCCATCGGCACAGAGCTCCCTTCCTTGCAAGTGTCGTGTCCGGCCGGGCGAGGCACCCTCCTCCTTCAGGTGCATAAGTGCAGGGATCCAAGAGAGACTGCCACTGTCACCTTGAGTTACCCGTGTGGTAAATTTGTGGCAATTCCTAAGTATTCTTCCAAGTTCTCCCAAATAACCTAGGTTATGGGATTTCTTTTGGTTTTCAGATACATAGTCTCACTGTGCATCCCTAGCTGGCCTGGCACTATCTAGCCCAGGCTGGCTTGGAACTCAGAGATTAGCCTACCTCTGCCTCCTGAGGGCTGGGATTAAATGCATGCGCCACTGCACTTTGCTAATTATGGGCTGAAAATCATGCAAGTTTCTTTTTTATCTCCTTCTTTCTTTTTCTTCCATTTTTCCTTTCTGAGGCAGTATCTTATTGTATAGCCCAGGCTGGCCTCCAGTTCCTGACAACCCACCTGCCTCAGCCTCTCCAGTGCTGGGATGACAGGTGTGTAGCACAAACCAGCTGAGCAGGAAGTCTCTGTTAGCTGAGGAGTTGAACGGCTGAAATGCTCCAGTATTTGTGCGTAATCAGAAACTACCAGTCAGAGGTTTAAAGTAAAAAAAAAAAAAAAGAAAGAAAGAAAGAAAACGCCGAAAAGAGGCTCTGAGTTCCATCCCAGCACTGAAGAGAGCAGACGCTTCGGGATGCTTGGATCCTGATCAGTCTGGTCTTCCTCCCTCCCCGGGCATTGTCTTCTGTGGTCAGTGATTTGGGGCCACTTCCGGCCCAAAACTCCATCCCAACACACCACTGGACAGTGCAACCTAAGATGCTGAGCACACGTGGGCGCCCAACGCAGAACTGGAAAAGTGCAGAGAGAGAGGAAGTGCGGTCCCACGGGGACTGGGCGTGGGCCTGAGGTCTTGATGGCCACAGCCGAGCAGCAGCAGGCGGCTCAGACAGCACAGGCCGAGGCCCCTGAGCAAGGCAATCAGATGTCTCAGGCACTTCATAAACATGAAGGGGGAAGGGCGGCTCGGGCCTGGGCCTCCAGGAACGGAAGGAGGGTTAGCTTAGCGAAGGCACGAGCAGGAGCCAGGCACCGCGGCTGCTGGTCCCAAGATGCGGCAAGCTCTGCACCAAGTGCCACAAGTCACTTTCCTGGCCTCTGCAGCTCGAAAGGCCTGACGAGGAGCAGAGCCCAGGCTGACTGTCAGGAGGCTAAGGCTTGCGGGTGGAGGTAAACGTGGAGTCCTGAGTTTAGGGATTGGTTGTGGCACCGGAGACCCTGCCGCAAGCCCCTGCTGTTGCAAGTTCCGAACAGAGGCTTCTCCCCACCTGGGCCCCTTCCCACTTCCTGTGAGTGGAGACAAGAGAATGAAGAAGCTTCTGGGGTCGCCTCTTTGCTTCCAAGGAAAGAACGATGGGGGAGGGGAGTCCCAGCCAGCAGCCTTTTCTGCCCCCGGACAATAAATATATAAAACAGAGTCTGGGGCAGGCAGGCCGCTGAGCTTGGTCCCCGGCCCAGCTTGGCTCTTATCTTGCTTTGAGCAACACAGTGGTCACAGAGGCGGCAGGACCAGGCCTGGACAGGGAGGTGTGGAAAAAGTGTCCTTCCTGCCTGAGAGCGGAGACGGATCCCGGAAAGAGAAGATTCTCACAGCTGTTCATGCCACATCATCCTCCAGGCTGACCATCTGTCGCTGTCAGAGAACCATAAACACAGGAAACCATCAGTCTCACGGGGACTGCACACAGCCAAGGTCCGCCACATTCCACTGCACACAGGCATCCGCTCAGGCCGCGGGTCCCGTCTCCTGTCCCCTTTACAGCCACCAGGGGGCGCTGGGTGACTCCTCTTGTGGAGTCCCCAGGTTGCCTGCCTCTCTTCTCTGATCGTGGCACAAGTACGCGCCCCGCGTTTCTTTTTCCTTTTCAGAATTATTTTGTGTGTGTGGGTGTTTTGTCTCTATGTGTGCCTCGTGCCTGTGAATGCCAGATGGTGTCAGATCCTCTGGAACTGGAGTTGCACACATGTGGGTACTGAGAATGCAACCCAGCCTTCCCCCAGTCTTCTTAAAACACATTATGCCCAGGCTGGAGAGACGGCTCAGTGGTTAAGAGCACTGATTGCTCTTCCAAAGGTCGTGAGTTCAATTCCCAGCAACCAGATCGTGGCTCACAACCATCTGTAATGAGATCTAGTGCCCTCTTCTGGTGCACTGTATACATAATAATAAAATCTTTAAATGAGCCGGGCGTTGGTGGCGCACGCCTTTAATCCCAGCACTCGGGAGGCAGAGGCAGGCGAATCTCTGTGAGTTCGAGACCAGCCTGGACTACCAAGCGAGTTCCAGGACAGCCTCCAAAGCCACAGAGAAACCCTGTCTCGAAAAAAAAACCAAAAAAAAAAATCTTTAAATGACCACTTCCTCTGCATACTACCCAACCCCCACTCAGAGGAGCCTGACACCTCCTACCACAGCCACAGAGGATCGAATATGGACTCAAACCAGTGAGTCATGCCCTAACCGCTCACTGGGGGATTCTAGGAGAGGGCTCTATCACTGAGCCACGCCCCCAGTCTCACTGAGCCACGCCCCAGCCCCTCACGGAGGGTTCCCAGGCAGGCATTCTACGGCTGAGCTGTGCATGTCCCTGCCCTGTCCTTCAGCTTCTTAGCTGCCTCCTCTCTTCCACAAAAGGGCGCACTCACCGAGGGGTAGGAGTAGCCGTCCTGGCTTCGGCAAATGTGGAGTTCGTCTTCCGTGGTCTTCTGGTACACTGGGTTGTCAAAGTTTATGCTGTTGATGCTCCTCAGCCGCCAGTTCCTCCACAGCAGGATGGCCCCAAAGACAAGGAGGATGACCAGAGCTGTGGGGAGAAGGGGCGTGGTCAGGGCGGGGCCCAGAAGGCCACTAGGCATTCCCATTCTGTCTCCTTTACGTGACAGCAGTGTGTTCCGAATGTAAAATTATACTTTCTTATCACACACAGAAAAAGTGCTGGGGGGGGGGGATGACCCAGGACCCGTGAGCCTAGCACTTCAGTGGATGAGGCAGGAGCATGCCAACTTCTGAACCAGCCTGGACTCCATAATTCTATCTTGTGGGATTCTCTGTCAACTTTGCTTAGTTTTGTTTTGTTGTTTGAGACAGGGTCTCACTATGGAGCTCCGGCTGTCTTAGAACTCTCTCTGTAGACCAGGCTGGCCTCGAACTCACAGAGATCTGCCTGCTGGGATTAAAGGATGAATCAATGTGATTTTTATTTCTACACAGACTCACAATTCCCTCTCCCACACCTCTTTTTATTTTATTTAGTTTTTGTTTTTTGTTTTGTTTTTCGAGACAAGTTTTTGAGTCCTGGGTGTCCTGGAACTTGCTCTGTAGACCAGGCTGGCCTCAAAAAAACTCACAGAGTTCTGCCTGTGAGATTAAAGTTTTTTTGTTTTGTTTTGGTTTGGTTTTGGTTTTTTGAGACAGGGTTTCTCTGTAGCTTTGGGGGCTGTCCTCACTCTGTAGTCCAGGCTGGTCTCGAACTCACGGAGATCCACCTGCCTCTGCCTCCCGAGTGCAAGTGCTGGGATTAAAGGCGTGCGCCGCCAGCGCCACCACCACCCGGCTGTGAGATTAAAGTTGTGCTCCACCACAACCAGGGGCACTTAATCTTATTTGTAACTAATGAAGTTAAAAGGGGCCAGTGGTCAGAGGCAGGCAGAAGCATGCCTCATGCAGGGACATTCCATTGTGGGTCAGAAAGGTTTACTGGTCCAGCAGGCTAAGCGTGACGTCTCAGGAGCCCCACAATGTCCGCAGCACGGTCAGCACTTACCGATGGGGAGGGTGATGGACAAGACCCCCACACCCTGCGGCTGCTCCTCGGTCCTTCTGTCGCCCTGGACTGGGGTAAGAGAAAGGATAAAGTAAGGAGGCTGAGGCCAGAAGACAGGAGCCACCCCAGGAGTGTGCCTGACATGTGTCTATCACCCTGAGCAGGGAAACCTGGAGATGTCACCAAGGTTTGCATAAATCATATGGCCTTAATCCCAGGCACGTGGTGGCACATTCCCCAATCCCACTAAATAATCAGCGTAACTAGCAGTGGGTCCAAGGGCTAAAAGAAAGAAGAGCTGGAGACAGCCGAGTGGGCGGAGGCACTGCCCCCTCAGCCTCGGGAACAACTTCATCTTGATCCCTGGAAGTTGCTAACTGAGGCATTGTATTCATTCGTATTCTCCCTCACTCTTTCTAAATGTAAACACACTTTTAAAAGTGTAAAAACAGAGCCAGTGAGATGGCTTGTTTTAATGAAGGTGCCTGCTGGGACCCATTGAAAGTAAAACTTTAAAAAAATCAGTGTAATTAAAAAAAATGTAGTACTAGCCGGGCGTTGGTGGCACACGCCTTTAATCCCAGCACTCGGGAGGCAGAGGCAGGCGGATCGGATCTCTGTGAGTTCCAGACCAGCCTGGACTACCAAGCGAGTTCCAGGACAGCCTCCAAAGCCACAGAGAAACCTTGTCTGGAAAAACCAAAAAAAAAAAAAAAAAAAAAAAAAAATGTAGTACTTATCAAATGGAGGGTGGGTGTGGCCTTTACCTTGGTGGGACATTGTCACGGACTCCACTGTGCTGAATCCCGGGATGCCAGCAGGCTGCCTGGAAGGGCTGGAAGCTGACGGAGTCTCCTTGGGCCCCACGGCTCTTGCAGTGCTCACAGGTCTGATGGTGGATGTCCCCTGGGTGGTCAGTACAGGTGCAACTTCTGATGGGACAATAAACATGACCTGAGTGCCACTGCTGGGGTGCCACGCACACCTCCACTCTGCCTGGAAAGCAGGCTACCAAGTTCCAGGGGCATCAGGAAGGGAAAATAAATTTGGTAAGTGACTGGCAGCATTGTTCCAAACTTGAGATTCTCCTGCCTCAGCCTCCCAGCACCTACCCTGTTCTAACAAGCAGGAGATGCAAATGCTGAGGACACAGTGGTCCCTGAGATGGTGAGACTGACCCCAAAATCCACATCAGAAATCCAACCACTGCCGGGCAGTGGTGGCGCTCGCCTTTAATCCCAGCACTCGGGAGCAGAAGCAGGTGGATCTCTGTGAGTTTGAGACCAGCCTGATCTACAGAGCGAGTTCCAGGACAGCCTCCAAAGCCACAGAGAAACCCTGTCTCGGGAATAAATAAATAAATAAATAAATAAATAAATAAATAAATAAATAAATCGACCACTGCAGTGGTGGTACTCGCCTTAAATCCCAGCACTCTGGAACACAGAGGCATATGGGTCTGTGAGTTTGAAGCCAGCCCGGTCTTAAGAGTGAGTGCCATGACAGCCAGAGCCACTCAGAGAAACCCTATCTTGAAAAAAAAAAAGGAAAAAAAAAACTCGACTACTGATTTTTTTTTTTTGAGACAGGGTTTCCCGGTGTAGCCTTAGCTGCTCTGGAGCTTGCCCCCCTACCCAAAAATTGTCCTTTACAAAAATGAACAGATAAACTGAGAACACTTGATGGTCTGAAGTCAGAGCACCCCCACGTGGAACATGGAGACAATGAGACTAAGTGAGTCCCCAGGCAGCTCTGACGTTCAGTCAGCCTTGGCAGGCTCGTGTGGGCACAGCTCCTGGGACCAGTGCCCCTACCTGCTAGGCAGCTCCGCATGTCCTTGGCCAGCAGCATGCCATCAGGGCAGGCGCAGGTGAATTTCGGGGAGTGGGGGTTGATCTGTGGGGCCGGCAGGCACAGGTACTGGCAGCCACCATTGGGGAGGGCTGTTCTCTCACACCAGTTTACCCCTGCGGGGAGAGAGATGGTCAGATAGAATGAACTCGTGACACCAGATACATCAGAATAGTCTAGAAACGTTCCAGAGCAATGAATGACAATTTTATTATTGGGTACAAGAAGGGTGTTGAGCACATTGTCATGTGAGCCCGAGGAGTCTATCGAATTCTAGGACAGTGGCAGAGAAGTCTGTTTGAGTGTGGGGCTTACCTCTAGGCTGTGTGATGTTGTGGAACAGGACAATGTCCTCTGGGGACAAGAGGTTTTCAGCCACCAAATTCACATCTGAACCTGTGAGGCGATTGGCACTGAAAATGGCTTCATTTATGACATCCGTCCAAAATACTTTGTCCTACATGGGGGACAGGTATGGAAGACAACCAAGCCCATTAAATCATTAGCCATTGGAGTACATGCATCTCCATAACCTCCCCCAAACCTCTGAGTTCTCTAACATAAGCAATACTGGGCACAGTAGAAAGTTCTACTTCATCAATGTAGTGACATGCACACAACCTCCCATCCTAACCACCGTCTCACCGCATGCACATGCTCATCCTAACCACTCTCTCACCGCATGCACATGCTCATCCTAACCACCGTCTCACTGCATGCACATGCTCATCCTAACCACCGTCTCACTGCATGCACATGCTCATCCTAACCACTGTCTCACTGCATGCACATGCTCCCATCCTAACCACCGTCTCACCGCATGCACATGCTCATCCTAACCACTCTCTCACCGCATGCACATGCTCATCCTAACCACTGTCTCACTGCATGCACATGCTCTCATCCTAACCACTCACTGCATGCACATGCTCCCATCCTAGTCACTCTCTCACTGCATGCACATGCTCCCATCCTAGTCACTCTCTCACTGCATGCACATGCTCATCCTAACCACTCACTGCATGCACATGCTCATCCTAACCACTGTCTCACTGCATGCACATGCTCCCATCCTAACCACTCACTGCATGCACATGCTCCTATCCTAACCACTCACTGCATGCACATGCTCATCCTAACCACTCACTGCATGCACATGCTCATCCTAACCACTCACTGCATGCACATGCTCCCATCCTAACCACTCACTGCACGCACATGCTCATCCTAACCACTGTCTCACTGCATGCACATGCTCCCATCCTAGTCACTCTCTCACTGCATGCACATGCTCCCATCCTAGTCACTCTCTCACTGCATGCACATGCTCCCATCCTAGTCACTCTCTCACTGCATGCACATGCTCCCATCCTAGTCACTCTCTCACTGCATGCACATGCTCATCCTAACCACTCACTGCATGCACATGCTCCCATCCTAGTCACTCTCTCACTGCATGCACATGCTCCCATCCTAACCACTCACTGCATGCACATGCTCATCCTAACCACTGTCTCACTGCATGCACATGCTCCCATCCTAGTCACTCTCACTGCATGCACATGCTCATCCTAACCACTCACTGCATGCACATGCTCATCCTAACCACTGTCTCACTGCATGCACATGCTCCCATCCTAACCACTGTCTCACTGCATGCACATGCTCCCATCCTAACCACTGTCTCACTGCATGCACATGCTCCCATCCTAACCACTCACTGCATGCACATGCTCATCCTAACCACTGTCTCACTGCATGCACATGCTCCCATCCTAGTCACTCTCACTGCATGCACATGCTCCCATCCTAGTCACTCTCTCACTGCATGCACATGCTCATCCTAACCACTCACTGCATGCACATGCTCATCCTAACCACTGTCTCACTGCATGCACATGCTCCCATCCTAACCACTGTCTCACTGCATGCACATGCTCCCATCCTAACCACTGTCTCACTGCATGCACATGCTCCCATCCTAACCACTCCCTGCATGCACATGCTCATCCTAACCACTGTCTCACTGCATGCACATGCTCATTCTAGTCACTGTCTCACTGCATGCACATGCTCATTCTAGTCACTGTCTCACTGCATGCACATGCTCATCCTAACCACTGTCTCACTGCATGCACACGCTCGTGTGCTTTGCACATGTGTGTGGGGACCACGGGTGGATGTCAGGTGTCTTTCTCAGTCACTGTCCCCCTTAATTTTTGAGACAGGGTCTCTCTCTCACTGAATCTGGAGCTCACTGGGTTGGCTACATTGGCTGGCCAGTGAGCCCCAGGCATTTTCCTGTCTCTTCATGAACTGTGGGTTCCAATCCTCGCACTACAATAAATAAATAATAAAAACCAGTTCCAGGAAATAGTTGCAATCCTACCACCTCACTCTAGATCTCCAGGCAAGAACCAATATCCTAATCAGTGTTGGCTTGAATGGATGAGACAAATCTAGGGCTGGCCCAAATTCCCTCACATTGTGGGGGGTGATGTGTGGGTCACCTCATAGATGGCCAAGGAGAAGGGGTGAGCCAGCTGCTTCTCGTCTTCCAAAATGGTCTTCCGATTGCCCCCATTGACATCAATGCTGGAGATAGAGTGGAGTTTGGAATCAACCCAATAGAGGCGGCCACTGGGAATATCTAAAATGCACAAATGGACCAGGAGATACGGAGAGGTCAGAGGTGAGAATAAGATCATTCAGTTTGCCTGAGTATTCCAGAATTTCTAGAATGTTCCAGAAATTTCCAGATCATGCCAGAAAAACTTCAGGGCACTAGCTTGGAGTAAAAGGTACAGTTTTGGGAGAAGTCCTCTACCACATATGAACCTGAAGGCCACATCGTGGCTTTTGTAACCCTTCCAGCTGTATGGGAAGGGGGTAATGCAAATTACATTGTCAAGCATGTGCTTGTGACCACTTCATGGTGCCCAGCCCCCACAGACAAGACCACCCTTGGATATACCTAGTGTGATGCCATTTGGCCACTGGATGTCCTCAGTCACCAGTGAGTAGATGTCTACTCCATTCAGGCCCCCTTTCTTGATCTTGGCAGGTGTCCCCCAATCTGTCCAGTACATGAAGCTGGGAAAGTCAAACAGACGGTACAGAAGACAGATGAGGACACTCCAACAGCAGGCTCCCACTACTGGTGACAAGAGTCAGCTTAAACAGCTAGTTCTCAGTTTGGAACCACACTGGCTCTTTGCTCATGGGTGGAGAAGAGGGAACTCAGGTCCCCAGGCAGGCACCTTCCCTTCAAGCCTTCCACCCTGCTGCCAACACCAAGCACAACTTCTGCAGGGTTCTCCCAGTCAAGACACCGACCTGGGATGGCCAGCCCCCCTCTGAAAGTGTGGCGTTAAGCCAGGCGTGGTGGTGCACGCCAGTAACTGTAGGCCCCGCAGAGGGGCAGGCCTGAGGCAGACACTGGAGTCACTCCTGTGTGGACAGATGCCAGCTGACAAGGACAGAGCGTGCCAGCTGGAGGTTGGTGGCGGGGAGGGTGTGCCTCCCCCGGGGAGTGGCCAGCTGTTGCTCTGTGTGTTGGGCCCTGACAGAGAGCAGTGAGTTCACATAGACCTGTCTAATCTCCATGGTGGGAGAGACGCTTTACTGCCATCTGACTGTTCCGGGCACTAACTTAACAGAGGGACTCTGCGCACGTGTGTGATGTATGTAGCGTGCAGAGTACGATCTCAGAGATGCCGTCTGTGGGGCAGCAAGATGACACAGCTGGTAAAGGTGTTTGCTGCCCAGCATGAGGACATGTCCTCAGTCTCTGGGACTCACATGGAGGATGGGGAGAACTGAAAGTTGTCCTTTGACAAGCCTACGCTAGCCTGGGATATCTGGCTACAAAATTAAGGGGTTAGCACTAAAAGGCATGCACCACTAAGCCCAGGCTGTTTGTTTCTTGCACTGGGAATGGAACCCAGAGTCTCCTGTATGCTAGGAAGGCGCTGCCCCACTGAGCTACATGCCCAGCCTAAGTCACTGTTCTAGCCCAAAATAGAGCCGAGCATGCCTTGAAACTTCTGACCCTCCTGTGTTTCTCAGAGGTGTGCATGACCATGCATGTTTACGTGGTACTGTGGCAGAACCCAGGACCTCATGCATGTTAGGCAAGCGTTCAACCAAACGAACGTCATCCCTAGCACGTTTATTTTAAATTACGTGTATGTGTCCGTGTCCCTGTGAGCTATGCCTGAGGAGGCCAGGGCATCAGATCCCTGGGCCTGGAGCTATAGGTGTTTGCACGCTGCCATTTGGGTGCTGGGAATTAAATTTAGTGCCTCTGCAAGAGCAGTGAATGCTCAGGGGAGGGAAAGGGAGAGGGACCTGGAACTGACTTGTGAAGCAACCATGTTTCTTATCTAAATTTAAACTGAAAAATACATTTAAATAAATAAATAAAAAGAGCAGCGAGTACTCATAAGTGCTGAGCCACCTCTCCAGTCCCTTGATAAGGCAGTTTCGAGGCCCCTATTTTAATTGTTTTGAGACAAGATCTTACTTTGCAACCCAAGCTATTCTTTCACTGTCTTCCCCGTAGCCCAACACAGTCTCACTCAGCTACACATATTCCTGAGACCGGCTCTGGATCCCCACACCTTAGTTTATCTCAATGTTCTCTGCAGCCCTCAGTTCTGAGGACACTCACCCATGCACAGGGTCCACCACAATGTCTCTGGGTCTGGAGCCTTTCTCTTGGAACAGTGTCCTTCTCCGTACACCCTTGGTGTCAGCCACAGAGACACTGCCTGGAACTGAATCTGTCCAGTAGATGTTGCCATGGATCCAGTCTACGGCCAGCCCGTCCGGGGCCTGCAGGTCCCCACTGATGATGGTGTCATAAGACAAGCTAGGTGCCTGGTCCATCAGGGCGCTGAGGAAAAAGGAAGGGATCACATGGAGCCCAGAGCCCGGGCCTCGCCGTGGGACAGCTGGTGGCAGGGCGATGGGACCGCAGCCCACCTGTAGATCTTTCCCTGGGACAAGTCGGACCAGTAGATTCTGTTGTTGGCCACTTCAGTGTCCAGGGCCACCACATTCTTCAGGTTGGGGATCAGGCTGGTGTACTCGCTGCGGTCCAGGGTCATCTTCCTTACCTCGTGGCGATTAGTGAAGAGCAGATAGGCTACGGAGCCTGGAAAGCCATCAGAGTGGTGAGGGAGTGGATCCCAGGACTTCGTGCATGCCAGGCAAGAGCCCATCCTCCGAGCCTAAGATCCTGGGATCCATTTCTTTAGTAAGAGTAAGTGGAGATGTGACAGAGGCTCAGGTCATGCTTCCTATCTCTCCCAGATGCGAGAGGGACAGGTAGAGTCCTACAGCCTCACTGGTGACCCCTAGAAAGGATGCATATGGGCAAAGGCCCCATTCCCTCACTGCACGGCTCCCCTGACAGCCTGGATCCTGGAGAGCTGCTGTGCCCAGACAGCACAAGGCTTAACAGTTCTGAACTCCAAAGAAGAGCTGCCCCGCCCCCTCAGCTTCCCAGGCAGCCCAGCCGCCCGGTGCTCACCCACAGCCTTGCAGGCCCTGGTGTGAGGGTCCATGTGGAATCCCGTCCGGCACTCGCACTTGTAGCTGCCTTCAAGGTTCACACAGAGCTGGCTGCAGGTGTCCGGCTCCTGACACTCATCAATATCTGTGGGTATCAACAGAGAAAGGGTTTATCTGGGGGAGAGGAACCCTTCCTACAAGGATACAGGTGGGGACGGGGGACTAAAATCAAAACGTATGTTCTCCAGTGGCTGAGGAATGTCACCCCCAGCAGGACCTGACCCTGTCATTCACCTCCGGTGCTAGATACCTGTGGGATTCACCCATCCATCATTCCGTCACTTCTTTTTTTAATATTTTATTTATTTTATGTAATCTTCTGCCTGCAGGCCAGAAGAGGGCACCAGATCTCATTACAGATGTTTGTGAGCCACCATGTAGTGGCTGGGAATTGAACTCAGGACCTCTGGAAGAGCAGTCAGTGCTCTTAACCTCTGAGCCATCTCTCCAGACCCTCTTCACTTCTTTTTTTTTTTTTTTTTTTTTTGTATTTCTGTTATTTTTTGTTGGTCTCTTTCTGTAGCTCTGGCTAGCCCAGAGGTCACGATGGAGACCAACCTGGCCTTGAATTCAGAGATCTGCCTGTCTGTCTCTCAAGTACTGGGATTCAAGATAATTCCTACCATACATGGCCTCTTTTGTTGTTTTCTGAGACATTTCACATAGGCCAGGCTGGCCTTGAACTTGCTGCATAGAAGATGACCCTGAACTTCCGATGCTTCTGCCATCACATCCCGAGTGCTAGGATTACCTGTGTGGGCCACCACGCTGGGTTCAGGCTGTGCTGGGGTAGAACCTGACGCCTGTTGCATGAGGCAAGCGATCTGCCATCCGATCCCAGCTCTGGTCTGAACCTTTTTTTATTCTTAAAGACAGGCTTTCTCTGTGTAGCCCTGGCTGTCCTGGAACTCACTCTGTAGACCAGGCTGGTCTCGAACTCACACAGATCCTCCTGCCTCTGCCTCCTGAGTGCTGGGATTAAAGGCGTGCGCTGCCACTGCCGCCACCACCACCACCCAGCATGAACCCTAATTCTTGATGATGACCCCAAAAGGCAGGACTGCCAATGACCCGTGCTTCCTCACAGGCCGGCGCTCAGTGTTTACCCTTGGAATCCTCCTAACAGCCCTAGGAGGTGGGACTGCCCTCCTGCCCATTGAGCACTTGGGGAACCTGAGACCCAGCGTTCAATGGAAAAGGCGGAGGTAGCTCAGAGCACAGCCTGGACACACAGACTCACCCTCACATCTGTGCTGGTCCACCAGCTGGAAGCCACTGGGACACAAGCACTCGTAGCCAATCTTGAGGTCCTTGCAGACGTGGGAACAGCCACCATTGTTGTCCAAGCACTCGTTGGTCCCTGCACAGGGTTGAGGAGACACAGACAGAAACTCTAGCTCCCCTTAGACTCTCCGCTGGAAACACTAAGTCATTGCATTTCCTTTGCAAAAAGGTTCAAAATAATGTCTTTTTCCTATTTTCAATCATGTGCACAGTATGTGTGTGTCTGCATGTGGGTGAGTGTGAGAACAGCAGACATCTTCAGAGGCACTGGGGGCCCGGAGACGGATGCCCTGTGGCTGGAGTCCCAGGCGATTGTGGCCTACCTGACCCAGTTGCTGGGAATCAAAGCTGAGTCTTGTATAAGAGCAGTAAGTGCTTTTAACTGCATCTCTCCAAACCCGAGTATTTTTTATAGGATATAAGTGCGAGGGACCTGACCTCTGGTCCCATCTCCCCGCCCCTCCCCTCATGCCTGTCTTGCCCTAGAGCCAAAGCCCTGTCAGGTCTATGATGCATACTAAGCCTTTTGAAGGCTGTACAGTGTGGAGGACTCATGTCCCCATAGTAACTACATGTTGGTGCCATGCCGGGCTCCCCCAAAACACCACTCCCTGTGCGGCTTCCCAACACTCACTGCAGTTCTTGATGGGCTCATCCGACCAGTCCCGGCAGTCCCTGGTGGAGTCGCACACCTTGTCCAAGGCGATACATTCACCACTGTGGCACTTGAACGTGTTGGGCCCATCACACTGTGTCACTAATAAAGGCAAAGAGAATGGTCAGGAGTGGCTGAGTGGTTCAGCCAGTGAGGGGCTGGGGGTGTGGCTCAGTGATAGAGTCCCTGTCTAGAACCCCCCAGTGAGGGCCTGGGGGTGTGGCTCAGTGATAGAGCCCCTGCCTAGAATCCCACAGTGAGGGGCTGGGAATGTGGTTCAGAGTAGAGTCCCTGTCTAGAATGCCCCAGTGGGGGGCTGGGACGTGACTCAGGATTACAGGGCATTCCACCATGCCTGCTATAAAGAGTTTCTCTGTGGTGTTTTTTCCTTCTTAGTGCTGGAGATGGTGCCCAGGGCCTTATGCAAGCTGAGCCAAGGCTCTGTGTGGTTAGTTGCTGAGAGCTCAGCAGGCAGATAGGAAGTTACCGTTTAACAGGAATAGAGTTTGTTTCAACTTTACAGGATCAAAAAAGTCTTGGAGAGCGGGGTGGGGGTATAGGGCGTGCGCCTTTAATCCCAGCACTCAGAAGGCAGAGACAGGTGGATCTCTGTCAATGAGGCCAGCCTGGTCTACAGAGTGAGTTCCAGAACAGCCAAGGCTACACAGAGAAACCCTGTCTCAAACACACACACACACACATACACACACACACACACACACACACACACACACACACACACACACACACACACACACACACACACACACACACACACACGGTCTTGGAGAGAGAGTATAGTGACAGCGGTAAAGACGTGAATTTTGGTTGAGTTGGGTTTCCTAGCCAGAAGCCTCACTACTTGGTTCAGGCTGGCCTCGGCATTGAGTGCTCTCTGCCTCAGGCGCCCGCCCGACTGGTTGGTTCCAGGCCTGTAGACCACACCCAGCACTGTCAATGCAGTTAAAAAGTAACAAGTAACTCCTAGTTCTGTGTTGGAAGTCCCGAGTTCAACTAGAAAGAGCAAACAGCAAAAAACTAACAGTGAAGTTTAAGTGAGAGCTGTTCTCAAACTCAATGTGCAAGCAAGGCCAGCCTTGACCTCCCGTCTGTCTCCACCTCCCGAGTGCTGCGGCCGCCACGCCCAGTGCATACAGCCGTTAGAACGCATTGCCTTGTGCATGCTAGGCAAGCAGAGCCTCACCTCAGCCCCAGAACGTGGCCATTTTATGTTAATTGTACTTTTCAAAATTGCCAGTCAGTGAGACAGAAAAAGTGCCCGCAAGGCCAAATGACCTGTTTATCTCAGGACACTCGAGAGAGACACACAAAAACAAAAAGCAGGGTTAGGGTTAGGAAAGGAAACACAGCTGCTAAGGACCTGACGCCCTCCCTCAGCAGAGACCAGCAGTATCCCAACTTTACAGGGGGAGCCGGGACGGGAAAGGGCGGGCGGGCGTCTGCTCACCATTGATGCAGCCAAGCTCGTCACTCAAGTCCCTGCAGTCATATTCCCTGTCGCACTGGCGGCTACCGTGGATGCAGGTGCCATCTGCACACTGGAATTCGTCGGGCCGGCAGGTGGCCGTCACTGGAGAGGGCAGGGTGGTGACTGTCAGCAGAAGCACCAGAGACCCTTCCTTCTCTGCCTCACTGCTGCTGGCTTAAACTTAGCAGGTGGAGGGCTGGCAAGATGGCTCAGGTAAAGACAATTGCCACCAAGCTCAAAGCTCAGTCCCTAGACTCTTTTTGTGGATGGCAATAACTCACTCTCAGAAGTTGTCCTCTGGCCTCCATATATTCACAGACACAGATTATACACGTCAATAATAATTTTGTATTTATGTATTTATTTTTGGTGTTTTTGTTTGAGATAGGGTTTCTCTGTGTACCTTTGGCTGTCCTGAAACTCGCTCTGTAGACCAGGCTGGCCTCGAACTCACCAAGACCCGCCTGCCTCTGCCTCCCGAGTGCTGGGATTAAAGGCGTGCGCCACCACCGCCTGGCAATAATAAATAAGTCACCCAGGGGACTGCATGTGTGATGTGTCTGGATGAGAAAGCCTGCACTTGCTCATGTGTCCAAACCCTTGGTCCCCAGCTGGCGAATGCGGGCTCGAGCGAGGCTGTAGAGCTAGAGGCGTCGAGTGCTGAAGCAGGTGCTCCTAACCACTGAGCCAGCCCTCTTCCTAAACAAACCAACTCTCTTTGTGGCTCATCTCGTATTGCTAAGCCCCAAAGCACCCTTGCAGGGCCTGGGAGCCCGCATCTCCCTCCCGGGCCTTACCGCAGTGCTCCTCGTCCGACTTGTCCTTGCAGTCGGCACTGCCGTCACAGACCCAGCTGCGGTGAATGCACTCGCTGCTGCCACAGTGGAACTCCAGGGAGGAACAGGGGCTGCTACTCGAGGCAGAGGCAGTGTCGCGGCCCCCACAGTTCTGTGGCCACTCATCCGAGCCATCCTCACAGTCCTCGTCCCCGTCACAGGCCCACAGGCTGGGGATGCAGGCAGAGGAGTTGCAGCGGAACTGGGCAGGCCCACACGTGGCGGCCTGGCAGTGGGCCTCGTCAGAGCCATCCAGGCAGTCTTGGTCCTGGTCACACACGAACTTCTGGGAGATGCACTTGCCATCCCGGCAGCGGAACTCGTCCGGGGAGCACGTCTTGGGGGCTGTGGGGGTCACAGGGAGGAGAGCACCCTGTCATGTCATAGCCCATGCCACCACATACTAGTCCATTCACAGACAGGACCCTGTGCTTGAAAGGGCCACAGCCTGTCTCCCAGAGCCTTGAAGAGCTGTTGCAGTCATAGGTAAGGGCCCAGGCGGGGGCAGCAACCTTCTCTGCCGTGGCTTCTCATCACATATCAAGTATCAAGCCCACCATCGGCTGCTGAATCACACCTGAGCCCCTCACTGGGGTGTTCCAGGTGGGCTGGGACACATCTTAGTGTTTAGACACTGTTGTGAATTGCTTACTGTGCTAAATGTGTAAGCTACACTGTATTAAAGGTATGTAGATATGGGGAATCCCACAGCATATGTATATAACAGTCAGGATTCAGCGTTCTCATGTCCCAAGCGTCCACTGTGGGTCTTGAGAGATCCGCACAGAAAAGTGGTATGACGTCGGGACATGGAACTGAGAAGCACCGGCCTCCAGCTCATCAGCTGTGCTTCCTGACAGCTCCTCGGTGTGGAGACGAGTCACAGAGACGGACGTATGTGAGCACCTCCCGCATGTGCACCTCCACATGGGCTGCCTGGCAACAGTCACCAGGGCTTCCCGCCTCAATAAAAGCTGCTGATGTCAATGAGAGGAGGCACCATCTCTCCATCTCTCAAGGTGAGATTGAGCCACAGGAGGGAGGGAGCCAGGAAGGAGCAACAGCAACACAGGTAGAGGCCCCTTAGGGATGACTGACGGCTGTCACACCATAGGGCCCCTGGTGGACTCCTGGTGGGCCAGCACACACACACACACACACACACACACACACACACACACACACACCATATACTCACATATACACCTACACCACACACACATACTCACACCACACACACACCATATACTCACATACACCACACACACACACTCACATCACACACACACCATATACTCACATACACCACACACACACACCATATACTCACATACACCACACACACACATACTCACATACACACATACTCACACCACACACACACATACTCACATACACACACACTCACACCACACACACACTACACACCACCTATAATCTTGGCAACACTCACCACAGCCTTGCTCATCTGAGCCGTTCTCACAGTCTGTCTGCCCGTCACAACGCCAGGAGTTAGGAATGCAGCGGCTGACTCGGCCCCCACAGCTGAATTCCTTGGATTGACAGGTGACAGACACTGGGGAGAAAGAGGAACAGTCACTCAAAGTGAATACCAGTAAGTTACACCAGGTGTGTGTGTGTGTGTGTATGTAAAACATATGTGGAGGTCATAGGACAACATGCAGACATGCAGGAACCTTTCCACTGCATGGGTTCCAGGGATCAAATTCATGCCCTGAGGGTTGGCCACAGGTACCCATGCCTGTGGCCATCTCCCCAGCCCCGTTAGATAATTTCAAACAGGGTTTTTAGTGGATCTGTGCTGTGCCTGCAATGCACAGGTGGAGTCAGGTGTGAAACCCTCCAAACCCACCATCATAGCAAACAAAATACTCTGGATTTTAGAAATTTGGGTTGCAGATGGTCACCCTGGGCCATCTTCTACCCACCTCTGGAAGGACAGAAAATGGGTCAAGAACACTAGGTCTTGACCAGCAGCAGAGCCCCTGCCTAGAACTCCCCAGTGAGGGGTGGGGTGTGGCTTAGCAGAGCCCCAGCCTAGCATGTGCAAGACCCTGGGTTTCATCCCTAGCGCCCACCACCAACGAGTAAAGGGGGCTTACTGCAAGTTTCAGAGGACTCGTCAGAGCCATCCGGGCACTCAGGGCTGCCGTCACAGACCCACTTGCTGGCGATGCATTTCCCGTCCCTGCACTGGAACTCATTCCTGCCACATGTGTCTTCTGCTATTAGAACAAAGGGGAAGAAAGGGTCTGTCAACAGCAGAACACAAAGCTGGCCACACACCATCCTGACACCAGGGGACACAACAGAAACGCCAACCCCAGTTTCTGGCAAGTTTACCCAGCATAGCCAGTGAAATTTGTTGAACCCAAAATGGGAAACCTGTCAATCAGTTGCTAATATTGACATCTGGGCCGTTGAAGAAAGTATAAAGGTTTCTCTAATTTGCTGCTCAGTGGTGATGCATGTCTTTAATTCCAGCACTGGGGAGGCAGACACAGACAGATCTCTGAGTTTGAGGCCTGCCTGGTCTACAAAGCTAGTTCCAGGACAGCCAGAGCTGTTATTTCAAGATAGGAACTCACCATGTAGCTCTGGCTGGCCTTGAACTCTATACAGAATAGAATGGTCTGGGTTTCAGAGATCTGCCCACCTCTGCCTCTGGAGTGCTGAGATTAAAGTGTGGGTCACCTGACTTCGTGACACGCTGGTACAGTAGCAAAAATCTCTGAGGGTAGCCGGCCACTATCTGATCAGACTTAAAGCCCACCTTCTTAGACGGAACCCGTGCTTGACAGGTACCATGGCCAAGAACCTGAAACTAGAAAGATCAGGGACCTAGAGGGAAAACAAATACTACTGTCCTGCTAAGGGGGTGTAGCAACAAAATGACTCCTGATGACATTCTGTTACACTCAAACGTCCCACTCAGCCTCCCTCATCAGGGAAGCTTCCTCCTGCAGTAGACAGGGACAAAAACACAGAGACTCACGCTGGACAGCGGACAGAGAGTGAGAGACCTTGGACCACTCGGTCCCTAATGGACCGAATCTCTCCCCTCAGAGGATACCAATGAGACAAGGCCTTCTAAACACAACCGGATGGAGGCACATAGAAATTTACAGAGACGGTGGCCGCAGGCACAAGGTCTGCACTGGTCCAAGCCAAACCCGGTCCAAGTGCTGAGAGGAGAACTGGACATGGGCTCCATCCCTAACCCAGAAGCTATCTCCAGTGCAAAAGAGAAATTAGTTTTCTGCAATAGAATCTTACTGAGTACACAAACCACAAATAAGGGCTGGCCAACACAAAATTAACTCAGTGCTGTTTTTAGAGATTTTTTTTCTTTTCTTTTTTTTTTGGGTTTTTCGAGACAGGGTTTCTCTGTGGCTTTGGAGGCTGTCCTGGAACTCGCTTGGTAGTCCAGGCTGGTCTCGAACTCACAGAGATCCACCTGCCTCTGTCTCCCAAGGCACCACTACCGCCCGGATACTTATTTGTTTTTTTATATACAAAGTGTTCTGCCTGCATGTATTCCTGCAGGCCAGAAGACAGCACAGGTGGTTGTGAGCCACCATGTGGTTGCTGGGAATTGTACTCAGGACCTCTGTAGGCAAATGCTCTACCATTGAGCTGCACCTCCAAGCTCAGGACCTCTGGAACAACCCTTGAGCCATCTCTCCAGCCCAAGTGTTTATTCTTTTAAATTATGTGTCTCTGTGTGGGTTTGTGCATGTGAATGCAGTGTTCAGGGAGGCCAGAAAAGGGCATCAGAGCCTTTAGACCCAGGGTTACAGGTGGTTGTGAGCAGACAGACTTGGCAGGAACAAAACCCTACAAGAGCAGTGGGTCTAACCTGGAGGCAAAGCAGAGCTCTACTGAGGGAAGGAGCAAAATGCTAAGGTTTCTGTGTGAGTCCAGATGGCTGAACTGGTAAATGTGCTTGCTGCCAATGCTGTGAACCTGAGTTCTAGACCAGAGACCCGCATGATGGAAGACAGAACCAACTCAGGCAAGTTGTCCTCTGACTGCCACACACGCACAGCATGCTGTACCACATGAGCACACACTGAAGGAAAACCAACCCTCGAAGAAAGCCTATGAAGGCGGGACCTTGAGAGTAAGTTTGGTTTGCTTGGTGGTGGTGTTTTTGAGACAGGGCTCTCTGTGCAGCTCTGGCTGTCCTGGAACTTGCTCCATAGACCAGGCTGGCTTCAGATTAAAGGTGTGAGCCACTACCACTGCCTAGCTTTATGAGTCTACACCCCGTTAACCTGAACTCCACACCTTTACTGTACAGTGGTTCCTCCCAAGTCCTGGCTTCCTGCAACTATACTGTAATTCTTTTTTGTTTTTTCTTTTTCTTAAACAGCATTGTCTTAAGTACCTAGAGCTGGCCTGGAACTCTCAGAGCTTGCGTTAAAGGCGTGTTCATTGAGCTGATAATACATACTCCATTGCCCAACTGCGAACTGGACCAATGACTCATCATGCAACCAGGATCTGGCCAGTAAAGGAAATGACTCACTCATTCTCTCTGATGGTTGGGTGAGCAGGGTAACTAGATTTCCAGGACTAGCCAGGTCACTATAAAAGGGAAGTTCAGAGGGACACTGGCAGGAAAGAGCTAAGGAGTGTCACCCCATCAGGCCACACAGCCCTGGTGATAGGTCATTAACCCATGCTCTTACTTAAATGACACAGAAATAAGCACATGGGTGTGGAAATACCAGCCACACCCAAAGGCTGGGGCTGGGGCTGGGGTGGTAGAGGGTTTGCCCAGCATGCACAAAGCCTGGGGTCTAGCTCCAGCACTCTATAAACCTGGCAATGTGGTAGAGGCCCATCATGCTAGCACTCAGGATGTAGAGGCAGGAGGATCACCATTACTTGGAAGCCAGTCAAGGTTACACAGCAACACCCTATCTCAAGAACGAACCCAAACAAAGAAAAAGTTAGTAAGGTGTGGTATGGGTGTGTGTGTGAATAGCTGTCATCCCAGGGACCTCTTGGCAAAGGCAAGAAGTCTGTTGCAAGTTTGAGCACAGCCTAGGCTACATGGCAACTTCCAGGTCAGCCTGGGGTACACAATGAGACCCCATTTCAAGCAAACGAGAGAAATAAACTAGGCCAGCAAGATGGCTGAGCGGGTAAAGAACTTGCTGCCCGGCCTACCTGAGTTTGACCCCCAGAACTCACTATGGAAGAAGAGAACCTCCGCTGACAGGTGTCCTCTGAAGCCCACAAGCACACACAAAAAGAGACAAACTTAACTCTGAAAACTCAAAAACAAGCCAGGTGTAGTAATGCACACTTTTTGTTTGTTTGTTTTTCAAGACAGGATTATTCTGTGTATCACTGACTTCTAGAACTCTCTTATGGCCGAGCATTGTTGATGCATGCCTTTAATCCCAGCACTCGGGAGGCAGAGGCAGGCAGATCTCTGTGAGTTCAAGGCCAGCATGGTCTACATAGTAGTAAGCTCCAGGACAGCCAGAGATATAGACAAATGAAATCAAATAAAAGGCTTTTAGTGTATTGTATACACTAAAAAAGGACAGTCCATTCCAGTTAACATGCACACACCTCTGCAGGCTCTCAGATCTTGAAAGTCCGAATGACAAACCATGAACAAAGCCGCGAAAACCGAAAGGGGAAATGTACGCTTTTGTTTCCCACATACAAATTAGGTGGTTACTGCTTTCTAAGCTTTTTCTTTCTCCCCCTTTTATTTTCTGAGACAAAGCCTCCTATAGCTGGCACAAACTTTTTTAGCAGGAGAGTATGCACTGCCCAGCCATGCTGCTGATGGTGCTAACCCTACCTGTGTAACAGTACTTCCTGAGCAAGCTTGTTGGTGAGTCCTTCACAGTTCACTACTTCGAGCTTCTCCTGCATTAAGATGGCTCAGTGGTAGCCTGGCGATCGTGGCACACCCTTTAACCCCAGCACTCGGGAGGCAGAGGCAGGCGGATCTCTGTGAGTTTGAGGCCAGCCTGCTCTACAGAGTGAGTTTCAGGACTGACTCCATAGCCACTGAGAAGCCCTGACTCGAAATACAAAAGAGAAAAAAAAAGATGGCTCAGTGGTAAAGGCGTTTGGCACCAAGTCTAATTAATAACCATCCAGGACAACCAACCAACCAACGCCTGAACAGAAGACCCCATCCTGCTAAGTAACTCCACTCTCTCAGCAACCAAAGCAGCTTCGTGCCACATGCCCAGAGGGTGCAGACGCTGTTGATATACCCAAGGTAGAAAGGGTTTATCAACACAAAGCCAAAGAGCAGTCTAGAGCCAGGCGTCTAGACTCCAGTCTTATCTGGAGGAAGCAAGGAAGATAAGAGCAGGGATCACCTCCAGGAGCATCACCTCCAGGAGCTTGTAAACTCAAGAACAGAGCAGCTGCCAGTGCTCAGGAGTGAGGCGGGGTCAGCCGTGCTGCCCAGTGAGACCCTACTAAAAAAAGAAAAAAAGTGAAAGACAGGTGGGCGCAGAGGAGCTGCCACAAGTTCGAGGCAAGCCTGAACCCTACATAGTGAATTCCAGGATAGCCTGAGCTACAGAGTGAGAGACTGTCTCCAAAAGTAAATAAATGAAAAGGATAAGAAAAAACAAAACAAAAAAAAACTTCACCCAATCTTGTAATAATTCTATTCAGCGAGAAATGTGACAGAAACAAAGGAATACACCCATAGCATGTTACCAATGCTTGCTAAGTTGTACTTTCCCTGTGCTGGAAGGGACTCTGAAGTATCTGACTCCCCTTAGGTCGACTCCTGGCTCTGTCTGTGTGTCTGGAGGCCAGAAGTCCAAGTCCACACGACTTCCTTGATCTTTCTCTTTATGCTTTGAATCCATCTCTGTCTCTCTCTAAACCAGATCTCACTGTGACCCAGAGACCCTGCCAGCACAGCCATTACAGGCTTCTACATCCAGCATAGATGGGTCCTCACACTTGGACTGCAAACAAGTCACCAACGGAGCCACCACCCCAGCCCAGCTCTGCTCTTGACCAACCTGAAGACATGTGCACGGCAGATCACATTCTTAAAGAAAATAAACAAACGGTCCGGGCAAAGCATGGAAGCCAGAGCAAGCTGTAGCAGTCACTATGAACATGAGGAGTGACAGAGATGCATGGGGTCTAGGGAGGTCAGCACAGGGCTCTTAGGCCTTTCTGTGAGATGGGAAACCAGGTCCTGCTCAAGACTTCATGAAATGTAGTTTTTCCTTAAAGAAGGCAATGATGGGTGGGTGAAATCAGGTCAAGACTTGTTCATAGTTACAACCGAATGCTGAGTGTTTGCCTGTTCAACTGGCTCACAAGCTCTCTCTCTCTCTCTGTCTCTGTCTCTGTCTCTGTCTCTGTCTCTGTCTCTGTCTCTGTCTCTCTCTCTCTCTCTCTCTCTCTCTCTCTCTGTCTCTCTGTCAGGGCCTCACTGTGTAGCCCTGGCTGTCCTAGAACTCACAAGGATCCACCTGCCTCTGCCTTCCCAGTGTTGAGATTAAAGTTATGGGCCACAATGCCCAGCTCCCTCCTCTTTTGGGAGCTGGAGTTCCTCAGGGATTGTACAGTGACAGCCATTCACTTCTGACTGACAGAAACTCCTTCCAGTCTCCTGCTGGTCGAGGAGGCAAAGGACCATTTAAAAATGTTCCTAGCCGGGCGTTGGTGGCGCACGCCTTTAATCCCAGCACTCGGGAGGCAGAGGCAGGTGGATCTCTGTGAGTTCGAGGCCAGCCTGTTCTACAAGAGTGAGTTCCAGGACAACTTCCAAAGCCACAGAGAAACCCTGTCTCGAAAAACCAAAAAATAAATAAAATAAAATAAAAATGTTCCTGTCCCAGCCAGGCTCACTGCCAGACAAACGGAATCAGACTTGGGCTGGGTTCGGCTGGTGGAGTGCCTGCCTCCCTGGCTTCTACCCCGCCCCCATCCTCAAATCCAGGCATGGTGGCAAAGGCCTGTCATCCCAACACTCCTGAGGTGGAGGAAGGAGTATCAGGAGTTCAGTCATTCTAGGCTATATAGTGACTTACAGGCCAGCCTGGGCTAAGCTAAGCGAGATCCTGTCTAAAAGTGGGGTAGGGGCGGGCGCTGGGAATACAAGCAAGAGCATTTGTACAAGACCGAGTTTCAGTCCCCAGTACTGAAAGAACTTGGGGGTGGGTCAGTAACCTTATTACACACCATCTAGCCTCCTGTCCAAATTCCAACACCTCTCCGAAAACAAAAGTCCACTTTAGGGAGCAGCCCAACCAAAAACATTCCGAGTGGGACCATACCAGGCCAGCAAGAGCCCTTGCCGGGTCCCTGGCCTGCCCTGACTGATAGCCTTGGCTACCGAGGTCTGGGTGGTCCGACACACTTGTTAACTGGACCGGGGAAGCCGGGACAAGATTGGGACTGAAGTCTTACTATGCTGGGTTAACTCTTGCAGGAGCCTGGCAGCCCCACCCAACCCGAGAGGCTCATGGAAGCCACGCCCTGCACCTCATCCTCCGTCCTCCATTGGACGAGGGGAGTGGCTCGAGGCTCGCCTGTTCCGGCTACACCCAATAGGAGCTCGGGGGTGCGGCGGGAGGTGGGGCTGGGGCGGAGCTCTCGGGCACGCGGTAGCAGCAGGATTCGGGTGTAGCCGTGGAGACCCCAAGTCTTGTACCGGGGACTAGGACTCCGAAGTTGGACAGCTGGGCCTGGAGCTCCCGGGCCCCTAGAATGAATGACGGGAGCCCTCTTCTTGGACTCTCCCATACGTCGCTCCTAAGAACACCTCCCGGGGACCCTCACCCGCTGATCCGGGATGACCCCTCCCCGTCTCGCCTAAGCCCACCTTGAGTCCCTACAACTCAGGCACCCCCTTTCATCCAAAAAAGTTCCTTCCAGTCACCCGGGAAAGACCTCACTGCAAGTTCTCACGAGAGATTGTATTTCACCATTTCTCGTCATACACACATACATACATACACACACACACATACATCAATCACCCGGGGCTACCCGAGTTCAGGGGTGCTTCTCCTTACCCTGAGCAGGGTCCTGGAGCAAGCCTTACCTGCAGCCCCAGCAGCAGCCAGGAGCAGGGCGATGGCCCAGCGCAGCCTTAGATCCGCGGTGCGCATCCTCAGAGCCTACGTCGCGTCCCACTTGGTTCACAGACCCCACTGTGTCCGCACAGCAAACCAAGGATCACGGGCCCCACGGTGTCGGCTGCAAACCCGAGGTGGCGGCTCCCCCGGTTTCCCTGCTGCAAACCTACGCTCCGCTCGGCCGACCGCCGACTGCACGCGCAGCCAGAGGCATTCCCAGAGCTTGCAGGCGAGGCTTCCCGTGGGGGAGGAGTCTGCAGTGGGGTGATTTTCAAAAGTCTTCACCTCACGGCACGGGGAGGAGCTTCGAACGGCCGATGTGACATCGGCTAGTTAACCCTGAAGCTCCCGCGCCTCCTTCCTCGGAATCCCACCGCACATTGCGTCTAAGTCGTCCTAAGTGTTCAAAGGACAACCCGCGTCCTTCCAAACCCCGGGTCACCGTTTGACGCTATCCTTTTGACCTTCAAAGGAAAACAGAAGCGTGGGAAGCCCACCCCTCTCCTTGCGGCGTTTGCCTCCCCTTTCTAGGAACCGCGCATAGATTCTGAAGCAAGTACAGTCGCAGTTTTTAAATGGTTATCCAACCCGATCCATAAACAGCGATCAGCGAGGAATGTAAATAAAATCAACGGCAAGTGCTGCTAAAACATGACTTGGGGGGGCCTGTCGGCTTGGGGAGCGAAAGAGCTCGTAGCCAAGTCTGAAGACTTGAGCTTGAACCCAGTTGCAAAAGTTAAAGTTATTTTAGGTAATTAATCTCAAAATCAAGGGGTCCATCATCTTTCTATGTTGACAAATATGGTTTGGCTTTTTTTTTTTTCATTTACCTCCTGGCACTGCTTGATTATACAGAGTGTCTCTTCCTCAAAGCAAAACCAGAACCAAATGTGGCTCCTTTCCCCATTGACACTGGATGACTAAACCACAGAGGCAGCTGCAGAGAAGCTTCCAAGAGTCAGACTTCAGATTCTGAGCTGCTGGAAGGGTCCCTGAGAGAGTCAGTGGTCCAGGGTGAATGAGGGGGCTTCAGGTCCATGCCTCCTCCTCAACAAAACAGGAATGAAATGGGGCTTGCTCTTTGATGCAGTGCATGCAGCAAAGCCTGGCGACCTGAGTGCAAACCCAGGACCCCACACTGGAGGAGAGAACTCATTCCTGTGACCTGAACGATTGTGCTGTGGTGTCACACACACAGTAATAAAAAAGTAAACCCATGCTAAGAGCTGGCTTTGCATGCCTTTAAACTCAGTGCTTAGAGGCAGAGGCAAGTGGATCTTGTGAGTGTGAGGCCAGCCTGTTCTACAGAGTGAGTTCTAATACAGCCAGGACTACACAAAGAAATCCTGACTCAAAATAAATAAATGAATGAGTGAAAAGAAAAAGTAAGTAGATAATACAAAACAAACAATAGAAGGCGGAAAAGTGAGAGAAGAGAACAGGCCACTCTGGGCTTGACTGGTAAAGGGCTTCCCTCCAGCATCACATAAGCCAAGCCTGTTGTCACAAGTCACAAGTCCTGTCTCTGTGCTCCAGAGGTGGAGGCAAAGGAACATGAGGTCAGCCTTGGCTACACGGATAGTTTGAAGGTAGAAATCAAAAAGATGTAAGAAGCTATTTTGTGACTTGATTTCTCTTGGTTTTATTTTATTTTTTTGAGAAAGGGTTTCTCTGTATTGTTTTGGAGCCTGTCCTGGAACTTGCTCGGTAGACCAGGCTTGATCTCAAACTCACAGAGATCCGCCTGCCTCTGCCTCACGAGTGCTGGGATTAAAGGCGTGCGCCACCAACGCCCCACTTTATATTCTATTTTTGAGATAGGGTCTATCTTATTGTGTGGCCCTGGCTGTCCTGGAACTACTCTGTAGACCAGGCTGGCTTCAAACTCAGAAATCTGCCTGTCTCTGCCTCCCGAGTGCTGGGATTAGGGGTGTGTGACCCCAGTGCCTGGCTTGTCTCTTTTTTTCTGGGATTTTGGGGTGCTTGTGTGTGTGTTCGTGTGTGTATGGAAGCCAGAGTTCAATGCCAGGTGTCCTCAGCTGCTATCCACATCATTAAAAATAATTGTAATATTGTAGTGTGTGTGAGCACGCTTGCACGTGCCAGGTTGGAGAGCAGCAGACAATGTACAGGAGTCAGCTCTACTAGCACATAGGTCTCAGGACCCACCTGGCATCAGTAGACTCACTATGAAGCTAACAATCCCAAGCCCTGGAATCAGTGATCACCATTCCTCAGCCTCCTGAGTAGCTGGGACTGCAGCTTGTAGCTCTTTGGGAACTCCCTTTGCCCTCTCCACTGGGCCACCTTAGAGTCACCACGAAGAAATCTCTTCGCCCAGAAGTCACCTTGTCTCCTGAGCTGGTCAGGACCTTCCATGAGATATCAGAGGTGCATCTCTGCTGGGTTCTGGTCACACAGCAGGTCCCGGCAAGTTTTCCCAGATAGACACCTGCCTGCAACATCTCCAGCTCTCTGCCTGTCCCTGCTGCTGGGCAATGGCCTCAAGAATCCAGGCCAGCTGGACAGGGTAATAGCTCCAAACCATAAGGAATGGCTTAACCCAGCCTGACTGTTCCCCTACAGAGACAATGTGCCCAGACACTGTAAATGGCCCTTGCTGCTCCCAGTCAAAGTAGCCGAAGCTTCCTGATGGCTGTGTGTGTGGTATGTGTTGTGAGTGTGTGTGTGTGTGTGTGTGTGTCCCAGCCCCTCCAAATGAGCTCAACCTTCAACCCCTCGCTGTTGGGATAAAGCCATCTCAGCCTGCGGGGACGGAGAGTGCACTTTTCTGCTCCTGCCACCTGTGGCTGTCCCCTGAGTGGCCCTAGGCAGCAGTTTGCTCCTGACGGTTTCTGCTTCGGTGTCTCTTCCCATCGGTTTGCTCGCCCATCACTAGCTTGGGAGAATTACGGAACTTGATCTGAAAAGTGCTTGCCGCCAGCCTCCACCCAGAAGCCAGGCAGAGCCGGCCGGTCTATTGTCTGACGTCCCCTTCCATCTGGCACCTCCTCCTATCCCATCCGTTTCCTTCCCCCTCCCTCCTCTCTCCTCCCTCCTCCCCCACTTCCTGCCTCACTCCCCTCCTCCCTGCTTTTCAACTCTAGAGAACACCTGCCTTCTGCCCAGCGGAAGAAATAGGCATTATTTGAATTTAAATGATTTGGTTTTAAATTTGTGTGTTTGGTGATGCAAGTGCTTGTCCCAGAGTTCTACACCAGCTGTCTTCCTTGATGTCTCCCACCTTGTCTTTAGAGCTGCTTTGAATCCAGCTCAGTGACTGGATAAACTGGCTGGCTAGCAAGCCACCACATACCACACCCACATACCACACCCACATACCACACCCACACCCACACACCCACACCACATACACACACACACCACATACACACACACCCCACATACACACACACACACCCCCCACATACACACACACCCCACATACACACACACACACCACATACCTCACACAGACATCACACACACACCCCACATACCCATACACACACCACATACATATATATATACACACACATACACACACACACCACACACATACACACACACACCACACATACCACATACACATACACACACACCACATACACACACACACCACATACCTCACACAGACACCACACACACACCCCACATACCCATACACACACCACATACATATATATACACACAGACACATACACACACACCACACACACACATACACACACACACACACACACACACACATACACACACCTGTTTTTCCCCTGGGTGCCCCGTGGGTCCAACTTGTGTTCATACTTGCACAGTAAGCACTTTACCCATCAAGGAGGCCATCCTTGCTGGCTAGTTTTGTCAATTTGACACCAGCTAAAGTCACCAGAGACTAGGGAACCTCAATTGAGAAAATGCCTCCATAAGATGGGGGGGGAGGCTATAGGGCATTTTCTCAATTAATGATTGCTGAGGGAGGGCCCAGAGCACGGTGGATGATGCCATCTCTGGGCTGGCGGTCCTGGGTTCTATAAGAAAGCAGGCTGAGCAAGTCAGGAACAAGCCAGTGAGCAGCAGGTTCCTGCAGTGTGAGCCTCTGCCTTGGCTTCCCTCAGTGGACTGTGAGTGGGGATGTGTATGCCAAACAAGCCCTTCCTGGCCAGGGTTGGTTGTTTGTTTTCATTTTCTTGTTGTTTTGTTTTCGGGGTGTTCTTTGTTTTGTTTTGTTTTGGTTTTTCGAGAGGTTTCTCTGTGGCTTTGGAGATTCCCCTGGAACTCGCTCTTGTAGACCAGGCTGATCTCGAACTCACAGAGATCCGCCTGCCTCTGCCTCCCGAGTGCTGGGATTAAAGGCGTGTGGGCCTGGATCTGAGCCCTGCAGCAACGCCAGGCCCCAGGTTTTTTTCTCTCGCCTTAGTGTTCCATCACAACAACGGTAACCCTAGCTAAGGCACATCTCTCTAGTCCAAGGATTTTCATTTTTTATTTGATTTTTGTTTTTTAGACAGTCTGTGCAACCATGGTGGCCTGGAACTCAGAGAGTCACCTGCCTCTGCCTCCCAAATTCTGGGATTAAAGGCTTGTGTCACCATGCCTGGCCCAGGATTTTGGCCTTTTTTTTTTTTTTTTTTTTTTTTTTTTTGCCATGGGTTGTCTTGGAAGGCTTTGCAGACCAGGCTGGCCTCAGACTCACAGAGATCTGCCTGCTGCTTGCTCTCAAGTGCTGGGATCAAAGGCTATTTTTTTTTTTTTTTTGAGATAAGTTCTCACTGTGTCTTCCTGCCTGGCCTATAACTCCTGGACATATACCTGCCTCTGCTTCCTGCTCTTTTCTGCACGTGTTGTGGGGTCAGATCCAGGCTTGTATACTTATACTCCACTGACTGAGCTGTCCTACCAGCTGCTTGTTTGGTTTTTCTGAGGAAGGTCTTCATGTGCCATGGTAAAGCTTGTGTGAGGATGCACACACCCATGTACCCACAGAGGCCAAAGGAAGTTGTTAAGTAAGTGGCCTTCTTTTCTTCTTCCTCTTCTTCTTCCTCCTCCTCCTCTTCTTCTCCTTCTCTTTCTCCTCCTTCCTTCCTTCTTTTCTTTCTTCTTCCTCCTTTTTTTCCCCAGACAGGGTTTCTTTGTGTACCCCTGGCTGTCCTAGAACTCGCTCTATACATCAGGCCAGCATCAGAGATCCATCTGCTTCTGCCTCCCGAGTGCTGGGATAAAAGGCACTGCCTTTTTAAAA